ACCTGAGCCTGGTGGAGATGACGGAGGTGGAGTACACGCAGCTGCAGCACATCCTCTACTCGCACATGGAGGCGGCCGACGGCGAGCTCGAGGCGCGCCTCGGCTCGGCGCTGCTGGCCGGCCCGGGCGCGGGCGCGGCGGGCGCGCTGGCCCCGGCGCCGCCCTTGTACCCGGTGCTCTGCCCGCCGCTGGCGGCCGACGCGCCCTGCCTGGGCCACGTCGACTTCCAGGAGCTGCGCATGATGCTGCTGGGCGAGGCGGGCGCGGCCGAGAAGACGCCGGGCGGCGCGGACGGGGCGCGGGCGCGGGCCGACGGCGCGGCCAAGGAGAGCGCGGGCTCCGCGGGGCCCGAGGGCGCGCCCGAGGCCCGGGCCAAGCCTGCCGTGCGCGTCCGCCTGGAGGACCGCTTCAACAGCATCCCGGCTGAGCCACCGCCAGCGCCGCGCGGCCCCGAGCCCCCCGAGCCCGGCGTGGCGCTCAACAAGTGCGTGCAGGGCGTCGGGCCGCCTGCGGGGACTGGGTGGAGACGGGGTGGGGGTCCGCCGCTCCGCCTGTGGGGCTGGGTGGAGAGGCGCGGGCGCAGTCCCGCCACCTGTGGGGTGCCGGAAGGGACCCCCAGCTCACCTTCTGTCTGGGTGGAGGAGAGGGCTCAGCCCCCACCACACACGCACCAGGGGTCAGCCTGGCCACACGCAGGGTTTGGGTAGAGGGGAGTGTGTGTCAGCGGGACTACAGTTGGCCCTGGGTGGAGGGGAGAAGGGACCTGGCCCACCACCAAGTCTTGGTGTCCTCGTATAAAAGCCACCATCCTGCTCTGACACTGTCTCCAGCAAAGAGCAGGCAGACCCATGTGTGGGGTGACCTGAAAGGCCCTCTCTGTGCAGGCGCTGAAGTCACAGTTCCAGGTGGCACCTGGAAGAGTTGGGACTAGGACACAGGTGGCCTTGGGCTTTCTTCCTAGAAAAGCCTTTCTGCCTTCCAGAGAGCTGATTCTGATAGGGCATGTGCAGAGCCATTCAGAGCTTGCAGCTGCAAGACAGAGCCACAGCAGCATGCCGCCCACTTGGTGACCCACCTTCAGGGGTGGCTGTGGAAAAGAGTGACAGTTCTGTTTTCCTTTGTTCCAAGGCTGTGGTTGGACCCCTCTAGCCCATCTTTGGCTGACAGATTGATGTCAGGCACAGTCACTCCTTCCAGAAGGAGCTAGCACTAGTTGGTGGTTGTGTGAGGGTGCTGCAGAGCAGGGATCCCGCTCCCAACCAGAGTAAACGTGACTCATTAGTGGGCGAATGGGTGAACTTCATATTTCTGGAGTCTTTCTGCCATTTATTCTCAGGTTTCTGGGCTTTCTTTTGTCTTGGCAGTTTGGTAACTCTTATTCGACATCCATCTGAATTAATGAATGTTCCTCTTCATCAGCAACAAAACAAATGTACAACATTAGTGAAAAATAAAACCGCTGCAGCAACTACTGCTTTGCAGTTCACCTATCCACTGTTCACAAGTGCCTGCTCCACTGGTGGAAATCCCAGCCTTTCACAGACGCAGGTGGGAAGATGACCAGCCCTCTTGTAATAAACAGGCAGATTTAGGTTTCAAGAACTGTTTTGCCTTTCATAGAACTTAATAACTTTTTAAAATGGAGAACGTTTATGTGGTTTGGGGCTGTGTGAAAATCCTCAGTGAAACAGATTCAAGTGGCATGCCCGTGACTTGAGGGTGCTCTGCTATGTGCGTTTTGCTTGTGCAGTGAAGGGCAGGTTAAGTCCCATGTTCCTAAGACTCCTGTTGTTTCATTTTTTCAGAGTTCTAGCAACTCATGTTCTATATTGGAAGCTGCCAAGCACCAGGACATTGGACTACCCCGAGCATTTTCCTTCTGTTACCAACAAGAGATTGAGTCCACAAAACAGACTTTAGGTAGCAGAAATAAAGCTTTGCCTGAGCAGGTTTGGATTAAAGTGGGAGGTAAGTGATAAAACAGTAGGCTCTTCCAGCTGTGGGAGGGAGGGAGCTGATTGCATACCCTGGGGACAATCTGTGGGGCCCCCCCTATCTTCTCACTTTGAATGTTGTTCTGAGTTTCGAACATTGTGATTGACCTTAGTGTGGAGAACTCTGTTGAGGACTTTAACAGTAAAATGACAGACTTATTCATTATCTTCATTACTGAAAGCATTTTACAGATTATTTTTGTTTCATACACTGTGAGCAGGAGTCTGAAACCTTCTGAAACCTTTGAGGTGTGTAATAGGAGGACACTGCCGCAGTCTGGCTGGGCACAAAATCACGAGCCACCACACACCTTGTAGATTCAAACAGCAACTCTTTATTCCCGAACTCACACCAGCCATCTACAATCACGTTCTGGGGAAATCCACGTTCTCTGCCCAAATCCACCTCCACTGGGCTTCTATCTCCAAAATATACTGTCTGAATCCCGTGAGAACTCAAGGGGAACTCAGGCAGCAGGATACGCCCTATTCCCAGCAGGAATAATCTTAAACCTTAAACCTGGAACCTAAACTGGGAACGCCCTAAACACGATTATCTTAAAACCGGGAACACCCTAATCTGCCTTGGTCCTTGAGCAAGGTCACCTACATTCAATGTCGCTGCAACATGTCAGCAACATGGGGTACGCTGGCAAGGAAATTGTCATACCTACTTGGCTAATGGCTCCCAGCAGGACACTATAGGTGGGCAGGGACTGGCTAGGAGCCAGAAGCCATAAGGATCAGAAAGACTGGGAAAGGAGTACATTGCAGAAGGCATAGTTGGTATCCTTAAATGCTCTCAGCTCCTTCCTCTTCGAAGAGAATTATTTCTCATGTGACTCAGGAGGCTAGTACTGCTCTGCTATGTTTTCATGACTAAGCAGGCAGGATGGGGAAGAGTGCTGCTGCTTTCTCCCTGTCCTTTTCCGTGTTAGGACATTGTATGCAACAGCGCATACTGACATTTGTAAGGAGTAAAGATGAACATTGGAATGGTCCTGTGCTGATGGCTAGGTTAAGGAAGGAGTTACCACCAAAGCTTTGGAATATCCCCCTTAAAATGTTCCACCATCAGGAAATTTGTGTGACAGATCCTTCACTTGGCTTTGTGTAGTGTATGGGACTATAGGTCACCACCCCTGCTAAGTGGATTCCTGCTCCTGGTTTGATGGGACCCCGACATCTTTGTGCAGCACATGCCGAAGCATGTAACATGAAGGCTGTGATGCCATTTACTGTGCCTTTTGTGTGAAGAGTCACTGCAGGGTGACGACGTGTTTAATCTTAACCCACCTAACCCACCTTTCTTCTCCTCTGAGTACTGCAGTTAAAATACCAGTTGTCAGAATAATTATATGTAAAGAAAACCTTTTTTGTAGAAAATATTTCTAGCTTTCTTTTCTATTCTGATTTCAGAAAAAGGGAACAGCGTCTTGATTTTGGTATTCATAGATAGCAACACTTGATTAGGGGAATTTTTGCTGGGCTTGGTGGCACATGCATGTCATCCTGTGATTCACGTGATTGATGCAGGAGGATTACAAGTTTGAGGCCAGCCTCAACAACTTAGTGAGACTGTGCCTCAAAATAAAAAGGGCTGGGGATGTGGCTCAGGAATAGTGTGTCCCTGGGTTCAGTGTCCAGTACTGCAAAAAAAGAAAAGGTTTGACAAGGCTGCTTTGGTCATGTTAACACTTGGAGCAGTATTGTATTCCATGGTAGACTCATGCTTCAGTTTTGCATGCAGTGTGGGCTTGGAGCTCAGTGCCAGTGTATGTGGACTCTCTGCTGCCTCAGCTTCTTATGGCTCAGATTGCTGCATATGCAATAGTGTTTATATCTTGGTTTGAAAATGCCAAAAAATATATTCAGCTTAACAGGTACAAGTTAAGAAGAATAAAAAATTAAAATACCACTTTTTCCTTCTTTTGCAAAGAAGAAGCGCTATGTAAACAAGCAATAAATAAGAGGAATCGGAGTAGAATTCGTCAGTTGGACACAAGTGTAGAACGGCGGGCCCTTGGAGAGATTCAGAATGTGGGTGAAGGCTCCACTGCTGCACAGGGTGCCTGGCAGTCCTCGGAGTCCTCGCAGTCTAACCTGGGGGAGCAGGCCCAGAGCGGGCCCCAGGGAGGAAGGTCTCAGCGTCGCGAGAGGCACAACCGGATGGAGCGAGACAGGAGGTATGTGTGCGGTTGGCGGTCAGGTCGACATACACAGTTCTCTAGGACTGTCCTGAGGGAGGGCAGGAGCAGGGGTCACATTGATTTTGTTTTGCTCTGATCAGGGTCCCCAGGATCAGCCCAGGTTCAGTGATTCACTGGCATACTCAGGGCTGCGACTCACTCTAAGGAAGGGATTCAGGTACCTGGGAGAAGACTGGGGAGACCAGGTGTGAGCTTCCCAGGTCCCTCCCAGTGCACACTGGGTGCCCGCACTTCCCCAGCGGGTGTGGGCCACACAGCGAGGTTGCCTAGCAGGAGAGGTCATCAGACACAGTGGTTTTGTTGGGGATCCCGCATGCCCTGCCCAGCACATGGAGTCCTCCCAGGGACGCAGGTGCTCAGGGTAAACCATCTCATGAGTAGAGGGTAGGTGCTTCAGGCCACATCTTGTCTGTCCATTAGATCCTGGACACCAGCTGAGGGCCAGCCTCGTCAGCAGGCCCTTCTGAGCAGAGCAGCCAGGCAGGCCCACTCTTGGCACAGTAGGCGGCTTAGTTTTGCATTTTGTTTGGTTCTTTTAAGAATGTTGGGGAAGGAGGAGGTTTAAACTGCTATTTAAATGGTCTTACTGAGGGTTTTGTTTGTGTTCTACATAGAATCAAGGTGGTTAATTTTTCTCTGTTATAGGGGGTTTCTTCAGTGTTTCCCTAATCATAATTAATTACTGTGTACCAGTTTTGTTTTAGGATTAGGAAATAAATAACATTGAATGAGACAGATATCAGCCTTAAAGCTGAGGTCCTGAATGTCAGTCTAGGGCAGTTGGTTGTTGTTTTTTTTTTTTGCAGGAGGCGGGGTGGGGCAGGTGCCAGGGATTGAACTCAGGGGCACTTGATCACTGAGCCACATCCCCAACCCTGTTTTGTATTTTGTAGAGACAGGTTGTCACTGAATTGCTTAGTACCTTGCTTTTGCTGAGGCTGTCTTTGAACTTGCGATCCTCCCCAGCCTCAGCTTCCCAAGCTGCTGGGATTACAGGTGTGCGCCACGGCGCTGGCTCAATCCATTGCTTCTTGAAGGGATGTGTTGAAGCTGACTTGATCCCTCCCTTGCACATGTGTGCACACACTGAGGGACCTCCCTGAACTTGCTGTGGGTTGTGAAGGGCCTCTGCACTCTGCCTGCCTGGACATTTGTTTAAGAACATTTTTCTAATGCCTGCGACAGTTTGAAAGTGTGAATTTTCACTGCAGCACTTGGAAGTTTACCGACCTGCTACAAGTTCTTTATCTCTTCTCTGGAGTTTCTCACCTATAAAAGGAATGTTATCTACTGCATAGACTTGATTAGAATTAAATGAGCAGATGGCTGAAGAGTTCTTGGCCCTGTGCCTGGAAGACAGGGAGTGGCTGGTGCATGCCTGCTCTTTCCTCTGGTGCAGTTATTAGTACAATTCTAGTGCACAGGTGTTCCAGTGCCTGGTGATTGCCACATTGCTGAGTGCCCAGTGTCACCTCATTTAGGACTTTGCTAGATGTAAGAAATAAAGGTTAAAAACTATGTAATAGTAAGACTCAAGCTATGATTTAAATTCTCTCTAAAAAGGGTGAGGTTTCAGGAGACTGACAGCGCAGTCTGATTCATTTGTCAGGGCCCCTCAAGGTGTCTGGCACTCCACGTTCCCATCGTGTCTCTTGGCTCATGGACAGCAGGGTGTAATAGTCCTGACCAGAGGAGTGATCTGCCTGGAGAAAGCGCACACAGTTTTGCTTCCAGGGTTAGGAAATTTGATGCCATCTCTGGTCTAGAGACTTGGACCTTAGGAGTTTATCAAACTGCTGCAAGTTCTTTATCTTTTCTCTGGAGTTTCTCGCCTACAAAAGGGATGTTATCTCCTCCAAAGACTTGATCATAATTAAGTGAGCAGAAAACTGTGCTGGGACTGGACTCCGCTAGGGTGTCATGGGTGCAGCAGCCTCTATTCGGGAGTGTGGCAGCACAGTAGTGCAGGCTTTCCCGGGGCTTCCTGGGGCGCAGGGTGCCTCTGCAGCACTCGGAGGCCAGCTCCGGGAGCTCTGGCTCCTTTTAGCAAGATGACGAACTTCCCGTTGCTTGCTGCTTTGCCAGCTGACTCCTCTGGGTTTTGCCTGCAGGCGCAGAATCCGCATTTGCTGTGATGAGCTGAATCTTTTAGTTCCGTTCTGCAACGCGGAGACGGATAAGGCAACGACTCTCCAGTGGACCACAGCATTCCTGAAGTACATTCAGGAAAGACATGGGGACTCTCTTAAAAAGGTCAGTGTTTAAGTAGGCCAGGTAGATTTTTAGGATTTTGTAAGTTTACTTATCAGTGTTCCAATTTGTCCTCTTTTTCCAAGGAAATCTCAAACTGCCCTTTGTTTCCTGGAATCTATTGTCACATACCAAGTCCGATATGAACGAAGCTCTGCTCATTAATGATGTAACTTTTCATTTACTAAAGTAATGATCCAGCCTAGATTCATCTGTGGGATGCCGTGCCCGTTGTCCGATAGCAGGGTGAGCACTGCTGCGCACCGTGCACTGCACAGTGGTCTGAGGGGCTCATGGGGCATGATTTCTGCCCTCAGAAAGCCTGGTGAAGGGGATGAAAGCAGAGTAGCACAAGAGCAGAGCAGAAAGGCAGAAATGGGTGTCCCATAAGTGGCTTGGGCCTCAGTTACTTCCATAGGGCAGAGGGTGACCAGGGGAACCAGGGTTTGCCCTACACTCCTGGCTTCCTGGGGGGCTGCTGGCTGCCTGGGCCCCATCTGTGCAGCTGTAGGCTGTGATGGCTGGTGAGCCTGCTCGGTTCTGCTGGAACCGAATGCCTGGTTGGAGTGAGTTCAGTCAGCCCCTGGGGCTGCAGAGGGAGAAGGGGCACTCAATAGTTGGTTTGAGCTGTGCCTTGGGGGACCTCAATGTGGGGTGCTAGCCTCGGAATTCTGTTGGTCAGCACCTGGCTCTGTCCTCCCAGGAGTGACCAGGCAGTGCAGTACATAAACCCTCAGCATCCTGATTTTATCTCTCCCAAGCTGTTGGGCAGTTGCTGCTGTTGACCCAGCAGGAGTCTGCTTGGAGGCGGGGCTAAGATGGGTGCGGCAAACCTGGAACCTTCTCAGAAAGGGCTCCCGCCCATGGCCAAGCTGCACTGAGCTGGGCTACCTCTCTGGGCCTCGCAGCAGGGCCTGTTATTTTCCTTTTCCTGGTCTGTGACCACGTGACATTTACACCATGCAAATTAGCTAATTTTGTGAGTCCCTTACTTTGACAATACATTTAATTGCATTTTAAAGCAATATTATGTCAAATTTATTCTAATTGGATCATTTATGGTTATTGATAATGTTGCTTTTTAACATTATTTGTTAGTGGTAGACTGTTGGTTTGTTTCAATAAAATAAAGCTTTAATATTTTTTAAAATGACTTAGTGTTTGCCTCTGTGTACCTATTTGTAGTCACTTATTGATGTAATTCAAATACAATGAATATGTTTATAATTTGGGGAATAAAACATTTTTTAACTGTATAATCAAAGACTAGATTGCGAACTTATGGATATTATATTTTGTATAATATGTTTTCTGGATACTTCTGTAGTGGAGTCCTGTTGAATGTGTGGGTTGCTTCTGGGTCACATAGAACAGGTGGGAGGCGGTCAGTCTGGGTTGCTGGCCAGCCTAGCTCAGGCACTGGCTCACTTCCACGGTAGCTGCTCCTCTTACCTGCATGCATACTTTTGTTCTTACAGTTGCAGTAACGAGAGTTCTAAGTGGGTTTTCTAAGTTATCTTAGTACACACTTCACTCAACGAGTCTTTCCCACTATAACCAGGTACCTGCTCCAGATTCTGGGGTGCCTTGCATAAAACAGCACCCACCTACTGGCAAGGAGGGGGACTTCAACACCTGCACCTGTGGACAGTGTTGGGTCCTGCCATGGGTGGGAGCCCTGCTGTGGCCCACCCCTACTGTGGGCCAGTGTAATAGCAGAGGGCTTCTTTAGATTGGGTGGTCACCGACGGCATCTGTATGCATGCAGATGCCAAGGAGGAGCGGGAAGCCCTGAGCCAGGGAGCTGTGGATCTCTGGGTCTTTGGGCAGGGTCACACACTGTGGTTAAGAGTGTTGCCTGCAGCCACATTGGGGTCCTGAGCATGTGGCAGGCAGGCCAGGGCCTGGTGGGCCTGGGTATTCTGAGGTCTCAGGAGCCCCTGGAAGGCTTTAGGTCTGGGAGGGACATGACATTTTACAATCATCACTTGGTGCTCCAGAAGGGGTGGGGTGGGTGGGAAGGAGCACAGACTGCTAGGAGGCCACCGAGGTGCTCTGGGGAGAGGTGGGCTCAGCCTGGGCTCCTGCTGCCCTGGGAAGCCTGTCAGGAATGCCTGGCCTGGCTTCATCCAGTGGTGGGGGGAGATGGTGTGGGTGGGCTCAGCGTCTGGCCTGGACCTGCTGAGTGTTCAGTGCCTGGAAGGCCCCAGGTAGAGTGTCCAGGAGATGTTGCTAAGTGAGTCTGGGGCACAGATGGGGATTCCCTTTGTGTTAGCTCGATGAGCTCATGTAGCATGACGAATGCCTGTGCGCCCACCTCCTCATCGTAGCCGTTAACACAAACGTATTTACTCCACACACACCATTCAGAGATAATTACAAACATGAACCTTCATCTTGAAATATTTCTACACACAACTCAAAGGTAGCCACCCCCACCCCCACCACCCCCATCACCCCCATGACCTGAGCCGTTATCGGCCCACAGAGCTGATGGCAACGCTCATTTGCTTGGATATGCAGTCCCTATTCACATTTTCCCAAAATAGTTATGGTTTTTGGTACCCGGGATTGAACCCAGTGGTGCTCTGCCACTGAGCAACATCCCCAGCCCTTTTTATTTTGAGACAGGGTCTCACTAAGTTACTGAGGCTGGTGATGAAGTTGTGATCCTCCTTCCTCAGCCTCCCACTGCAGGCTTTGTGCCATTACACCCAGCTCCAAACTATTCTCTTTTTTTGTTGTTCAAAATATTTACTTTTTAGTTTTTAGGTGGACATAATATCTTTATTTTTATGTGGTACTGAGGATTGAACCCAGGTCCTCAGGCATGCTAGGCAAGCACTCTACCACCGAACCACAACCATAGCCCTCCAAACTATTCTTAAAACCGCCTTTGTAGCTGTGTTTTTCCCCCCAGTCCAGCATCCAGCCATGGATTATATGTTGCATTTGATTGTGTTTTTCAGTCTGTAAGCTACAGCAGTTCCACTGCACCCACGGTTGTCTATCACGGCATTGAGGTTTTGAAGACATCAGGCCAGTTATCTGTAGTGCCCCACCTTCTGGATTTGTACCACTTATGGTAATCTTTAGTTATGGTGTAATTTCAAATGTACAGGAAAATCCCAAGAACAGTACAAAGAGCCCCACATGTACCTGCCCAGGTCTCCCAGAGCCCCCACTCGCCCTGCGCCCCATGTTCTCTCTCCAGTCTCTGTGGCTTTCTGAATGGTTGGATGCTGAGTCAAGACACCACGCCTCCCACACCCCACACTTCACTGTGTGCCTTTCCAGAAGAGGGGTGTCACCTTATGTAGCCAGAACACTGTGGTCACAGTCGGAAGGTTTAACACCAGCGAGCATTGGTGCCCTGTTCCACCAGAATCCTCATGGCTTTTCCCCAGTCAGAGTCCTCGGCTGGTGACAGTGGTGGTGAAAGGCGGGTCTAGATTCCTGGCAGAGGCCATCGCCCCCCTCCCCTCAGCCCTCTTTCTTCCTGTTTCCGCGGCAGCTCTGCTTCCTCTCCACCTCCCTTTGTCACCGAGGCCACACCTTACCTGCTTTCTCCCTCTGGCCACCTGGGGCTGCCACTTCCCTTCCTCCCACTTCCCCTGTGGATGGCTTCTGCTTCTCCCATTGTCCCCTGTCAGCACTTGCCTGTTTCTTTGCCTTCCTTTGTTGCCACCTCAAAGGTACAGTCTGTACCCTCTTCCTGTCCCCAGACCTACTCCCAGCAGCCTGACGGCTGTTCCCTATGCTGTTCAGCCAGAGATGGGCCCATGGCTGGCCTTACAGACACCCCTTTGCTTTCAGCACCCACTTCTAAGACATTGGTTTAGAAGTAGGTGTTGGCTTCCTCTCTGGGCCTGCCTTCTCTTCTCCCTGACTTCTCATTGATGGGGTGTCCTTGGCTTGCCTGGGGCCCAGGACTAGAGCAGCCAAGGGAGCAGAGAGTCTCCCTTTCAGTGTGCAGCACCCATTGGTCTCTGTGGTCAGTGGGCTGCCTCCCCTACTACATGGCCCATGTCTCCGCAAGCCCAGAGCCCCTGCTGCAGATTCTCCAGTCAGGACCCTGGCCTTCCACTCCCAGGCCACGGGATGAGTTGCTGTCTTGGTGGGCACAGAACAAGGAGACCCTCCTTGCAGAGACCTGTGCCTGGTCCTGCTGAACACCATCTCACCTTGCAGAGCCTCCTGAGGGTCTGTGTGCTGCTAACAGTGTCCACCTGACAGCACTGCTTGTCGAGCCCCTGGTCAGCTGAAACTCCTCTCACTTTGCACCCTCCTAGGTGCCATCCTCGTGGACAGACCTTTAATTATGTGAACGATGGAGTATGTGTATCATTTAAGTACATCCTTTATGATCTTGCCCACATAAAGTCCCTTCTGCAAGAGACCCAAACCAGATAAGTAATACTCAACCAGCGTGTGCCACCCCCAGGTCATGGGGTTGCTGTGAACTACCCCTGTGCTGGATGCCAGGGGAAGGCGGCACCCACACAGCTGCTGCTGCTTTCAAGGAAGTCCAGGGGCCCATCTGGAGCCCATGGAGCAAATCCAGAGCCACAACTCCCCCAAGTGGAGGAGCAGGCCAGCAGCACACATCTGTGCTCAGGAAGGCAGACAGATGAAGTGGCCGACAGCTCTTGCCTCAGCTGATGCTGCTGTCAGGGCCATTCCTGTGGCTGTTGGCTGTGGGCCACACTCAAGTTTAATGATTTGGATACTGCGTGACTTAACTACTGCAAGTTTTGAAATGTCTTTGTAGGAGCAGGGTTGGCACATGCAGCAACATGGAAGCCAGAAGATGGGGTCACACTTGCCTGGCTCTTCTGGGAGCTAGCTACTTGAATGTCTATATCATGCGGATTTGAATATGCTCTTTGAACATGCTACAAGGAGAGTCCTCAGCTGCCACACACACACCCCCAGCTTCTGCATGGCAGAATGAATCAAAGCTGTGTTGTGACCTGTTGTAAAAATAAAGCATCTTGGGAAAA